ATTCCGTGCCCCGCAGCGGGAGCGATGTCGGGCCGCGGGAAGCAGGGCGGCAAAGCCCGGGCCAAGGCCAAGTCGCGTTCATCCCGCGCCGGTCTCCAGTTCCCCGTGGGCCGCGTTCACCGTTTGCTGCGTAAAGGTAACTACGCCGAACGGGTGGGCGCCGGCGCTCCCGTCTACCTGGCCGCCGTTATGGAGTATCTGACGGCGGAGATCCTGGAGCTGGCGGGGGACGCCGCCCGCGATAACAAGAAGACGCGGATCATCCCCCGTCACCTCCAGCTGGCGGTGCGTAACGATGAAGAGCTCAATAAGCTGCTGGGTGGCGTCACAATCGCGCAGGGCGGCGTCTTGCCCAACATCCAGGCGGTGCTGCTGCCTAAGAAGAGCGAGAGCCACAAGGCCAAGGGCAAGTGAAGAGAAGTTTTTAAGGTTTTTGGTTTTTTTTTTAAATTATTTTTTAACCCAAAGGCTCTTTTCAGAGCCACCTACTGTTTCAGGAAAAGGGCTGGAGGAACAAGGTGAGGAGGGCCTGGTGGTAATGAGTACTAACGAGTTAATTATCAGGTCTTAATCCTTCCCCAACAGGAGTGGCTGGGGGTAAAGCACCATCACCCCAAAACTCATTACAACCCCCAAAGAAGCACTAAAATAAACTAGTTTGGGGTTTTTTTAATCAGGACTCAATACCCTGAGCAAGCACAATTTGGAAAATAAAACCACCTTTATTAGTAAAGCTTAAGTTGCCTCCTGGTATTTCCATAGGAGGTGAGGAATGATTGAAGCTACCTGCTCTTAGTCATAAAAGAATGGTGTGTACAAATATCTCAAAATAGGCTTTTTTTATAGTAGATTCGGGGGTGTGTGTGGGTGTGGAATCTCCAGAACAGGCTTTTTGAACCCATTTTAGCTTCTAGAAAGAGCTGTCACGGTGAGAGCTGGGTCCCCTCACTCAGAGCCGGGGAGGGGATGGAGGAGGTCGGGACTTTGCTCACGTAGGTGGAGCAGCTCTTCCTGCCTCGCCGCTTCTTGTCGCTTTTCTGCGTCTCTGTCACCGCCTCCTTGAAGCCGGACGCCGGCTGGGGCATCGCGCTGCTGCCGCCGGGACCGGGGGAGGAACGATGTCGGCGCCGCTTGTAGTTATGCAAATGAAGGCTCCAGTACGCGCTCGCCCATTGGCTGGAGCAGTCCCTTCGGAACGCCTCTCGACCGTGCCACGGCAAAGGGCTTCAAAATCCGTGCGCTCTGATTGGCCCGCTGCTCATTGGCTCAGCCAATGGCCGCACGTTGTTTGGATTCCACCCGGTATC